CCAGGCCGTTGGAAAGACTCGGTGGCCGTTCATGAATGTGGATTCTGTTTGGCCGCTGGCTGGGACACTGACCCTGCAAAGCAGCCCAGAGTCAGGACAGAGGCTTTTAGCAGGCAGCCAGGGGACAAAATGTCCCCTATCCTACCGCTGGTTCCTGCCTGCCTGCCTGCCAGGAGGGCTGAGAATGGAAGGGGAGGCTGCTCTGGGCATGGTCCCACGCACGAGTTCCCCGTATGATTCACGTGCGTCAGTGCCCTCATCTCCTGCACTCACTTCCTGCACTCACCTGTCCACTCACTCGCTTGCTCACTGGCACTCCGCCTCTTTCCTTCACTGGCCATCATCTCTGAGGTCCCACCAGGTGGGGTGGCCAAGCCCCGGACAAGTAGCTGCATACTGTACCTTGAAAGCAGGCCTACCTGGCCTTCTCTGTAACACACCTGAGGCCCCCAGGGGTCACTGCTTGTTCAGGCCTCATGGCCCCTACGGCTGAGTGGGACCTGACCCGGGACTCTTGAGGCCCCTCCAATCCCATGTGTTTTTCACTCAAGGGACTCGCCCACTCTAACCTGGGAGGGGCAAGAGCTGTGGGTGTGGGGTGCCTTCCTGGGGGAGAGAAAAACTGTGCCACCAGCTCCTCAGCGGCTGGTGGTGGGTCCCCTCTTGCTTCAAGCGCTGGGTGACAGGGAAGACGTGGTGGAGAAGGGCCCTGGGATGACCTGGTCAGGATGCAGCAGGTAAGACTCCAGAGTCTCCCAGACAAGTCTTGCCTTCTCCATCTTCAGGCTCTTCCCACCACGGTCATAAATGGAGCTTATATTTGGAACTGTCCTCCCCAAAGCCAGCTCTATTTAGACAAGGATGTAATTCTCAGAGACCACTTCAATCCCGACAAGAGCGGGGATGAGTAATGAGCAGGGAACCTATAGTTTGACGCTGGGGTCACAGCCCCCAAACTCCTGCCAATGCAGTCAGTGATCTCACGTTCTGGTCGCTGGGAGTCAGGACCAGTAACCGCAGGCGGCTGAGCTTGGGGGCGGGGCCCGCAGGCTTTGAAGAACATCTGCAGGCAGGAACTCACAGTGCTAACCTCAGCCAGGCCCCAAGTCCCCAGCACCCCTGGGACGGGTCTCCGCCTGGCCTGCCGCCTTGCTTCCTACCCCTCCCTAAAGTTGTCATGGTGTACCCGGGCGCTGCAAGAGTGATGCATCTACAAGAGTGATGCAGCCCCAGAAAAATGTTGATGGGATCTGGGTGCCTGACAGCTCCTGACGAGGGAGGAGGGTAATCCTAAGTCAAAAATGACAGACTCTGTGACTTTTGGGACCTCTAGAGGAGGAGCTTCCAGTGTGCACGCATGACAGGGTTGTGTGTATCTTCAGGAGCAGGAACGATGGTCCATGCACAGCACACACATCTAAGGTGGCACCACCACGTGTGCTTTGGGTACCTTTGGGCATATAGGTGGCCCCCTGGGTGTTCACAGCCCCAGTAAGCCAAGGAAGCAGAGTGCAGGCTGGGTGCCTTTGTGCAGTGTACAACTAACCCAACTGTGCAGACCCATCTTTCCTTCCACTTAGGGAAATGGCGGGTCCTTAGCTGAGTTCATGGTGGGACTGAATTACGGGATTGCTATCAGTCCCCAAGGACAGCATCTGCCACCTCAGCCATGGCTACCAGTGAATGGTGAGGATAAACTAGCAAGGAAGAGACTAAAGAAACAGGCTCTGGGCACCTGCAAGGCTGTCTCGCAGAGCTCGCCCCCACACTCCACCCTTCACATTGTTCAGTTCAGCCCACAATACTTAATGGGTCGATTCCGTCAGAGAATGAGGTTGGCAACAGAATCCTAAACGTCTCCCAGCCAGTGTGGGCTGACTGTCCGCTGTACCTGACTCAGTACCGACAGGGCTCTGAACAGGGTATCTCCGTGGGGGAAAGTCTATTGGGAATGCACACAGACGATGAAGGTGGGATGTTGGAAGGGCTGAGGGCATAGTAAAGGGAGGGACATTCTGATGGGAAGGGTGAGACCACGTGGAGTGGCAAGGAGGTGGCCAGCTGGTGGAGATGGGAGACAGGACACTGAGTGTCCACAGCAGGAGATGGGAAGGGGGAGCCAGTGTCCACGAGGACGGTCCTGGGAGAGGAGAGCGGGGTCGGACTGTGGCCAGCTGGCAGTGCAGGGTTCCAGCTCTAGTTCTGTCTGCGGTGGGCAGGAGAGTGGGCAGGTCACACTCTTTCCTAAGTTTCTTCCCCACCAAGCACTTGTAGAATGAACTAAAGCAAAAATGGGCCAGCTGGCTGGGGTGAGCTGCCTGCTGGGGAGGAGTGGAGAAGGCAGCGTCCAGCAGGACCCAGGCTGTGTCCCGCCTTGGCTGCACGACTATTTCCTACAACCTCCCTCCATCTTGAACTTGTAGGGCACCTTGCAACCTTCTAAGTCTTTTGCATCTTCAAAACCTTTCCCACAGACCCTATGAGTCTCCCCAGAAGCATAGGAAATAACCACAGTAGCTAGCATCTGCCACACACTCACAGTGCGCCAGGCCTGTGCAGCAGCACTCTATCCCTCAGCCCATCCCACGAATCCTTGTCAATCCTCCCCATTTTTCTGATGGGAAAATCAAGCTCAGAGACGTTGGTGACTTGCACACAGCCTCTGAGCAGCTGATGTTGGAGCCTGCACTCTTAATCACTACACCGCCTCCCCCTCACTCTCAGCCCCTCATTTTGGATGAGGAAACAGACAAGTAACTGAATTCTTAGAAAGAGTCAAAACCAGAAGGGGGTTGGGGTGGGGCTTGGCTTGGAAATCTTAGAGCTTCAGAGGAATTCACAGTATGAAATGATGTCAAGAAGTACATGTGTCTTTGGCACCATCAGTGGTGGCAAGGGTCCAGAAGGAAGGAGGTGAGAGCAGGTCTCTGCTTCCAGGCCACCCTGGTGTTCAGCAAACGCGAAGATGGGGCCCAATGACTTTCTCCCCGGGAGGAGGCAGGATGGTGCCTGATCTGGGATGTCAAGTCAGAAAAGGCATAGGACCTGAAAAGATTAGGCTAAAAGGGACACAGTCTCTCTATTAACATTCTCCGAAAGCAACCGAGTGTGAGTTAAACCCGACATGTTGTGTGCTGCCCAGGATGACAGGACCGGGATCGACAGAAACCACAGGTAGGAGGCTTTTTGTCCAACCTGAAGAGAGCTTTCTCATATTCCTTTGGCATATTCCAGCAATGGGACCATGGAATAGGCTGCTGTGATAGAGAGTGAGTCCCCCATCGCTGGGGGTATTCAAGCAGAGTTAGTAATTGGAGGCAGGGTCTGGTGGCTACTGAGGCACTGATGAAGGGGTTGAAGTTTATGACCTCTAAGTTCTCTATGGCCACGAAATCCCAGAACTTGCTGTTTTTACACAGTGGCCAGCCTGGGGTCTAGGCACAGGAGCCACATATCCTTCAGTTGTGTTTCTCAGGACAAGATACTGTAGGGGCCATGGTCTTCTCCAGCTCTAAACTCCGCTTTCCCATTCCTCCCTCTCCCCACGCACAGGTGAGGTTCTTGGCAAGCTCTGCCCGCGGTCCCAGGACCTGCCAGCCGGGGCACATGGCACAGGAGGGCACACCCTCCTAGAGGCTGCCCTGGCTGCCCTAACCAAACCTGTAACTCCGCCCAACTTTCTACCAGCTCCCAGTCTGACACTATCCCAGTATTTTACCTGTTTATTCTGTTTGCTATCAGGAAGGCAGGGGTCTTGCTGGTTTTGAGTTGGGGGTGGTGTGCCTGGGACCGTGTAGGGCACAGAGAGGCTGCTTACCTCTTTTGTTCAATCAATAGGCAGAGGCGACTAGAGTCTATGCATTTTTGTTCAATCAACAGGCAGAGGTGACTATAGAGCCTATCTGACAGATGGAGAGAGACTATCAGCCGCTGCTGCTCACCAGATGTGCAGCATTGGCCCAGTTACCTAATCTCTCTGACCCCCAGTTTCTTCATCTAGAATGTGGGGTCCCACCTTATTCCATGATATAAGGATTAAATGCAGTAACACGTGGCACAGTCCCTACATAACGCCGAGTGTAAGGAGTTAACAGCCACCACCAGGGCGCAGGAGGCTGCTCGCCTGGGAGTCCCCTACAGCCTCCCTGTTGCCCACGGACCTGTCCCCCAACCCGGTTACTGCCCAGGCCAAGGGTGCACGGCACGATCAGGGTGGCCGCGGGAAGTCTCAGCGAGCCCGGCTGGTTTTCCCTTCCGGCCGCCGCCGCGCGGCGCCGCGTCCCCACGGGTCCCTCCAGCCCACTCCCTCCGCGCGCGAGCCGGGCAGGGGCGCGGGGGGGGGTGGGTGGACGGGC